TTGCAGTAATCTGGCACTAACAGCTGGGGGATGCCGAAAAATGCTCCTCAGCAAAATATACCAAGCTAAATAATTTCGCCAGAGATCGTGCATTTCCTATTCCAAGTGCACTCGCTTGCTCCATCGTGTGCAGTTCAGGATTGTTCACAGTACAATGGGGGGAGAGGACCAGCCAAGCTGGATTGGCAATAGCTTGCTTGAGAGGACCAATCTGAAAACACTTCTTCTGAGCGGCAAATTGTACAACTCCAAAGGAAGTACCGTAATGCCTGCGAGAAGTTTAAGCAGCATGAACAAAACTTGATAATCGTGCCAAATCTCTTTTACCACATCCAAGTGTTGAATGGGAGTTGTACGAGCAACACGGTATCCTTCGGAAAGAACGTCAAGTCCAACATGGAAGTCGATTCCTGAAACTGTCATAGTTCCTCAAGGCTCGTTCTTCAGAGATCTTATAAACAGTTAATTTTACCGTATGGTTGAGTGATTTCCTCTCTTAAAAACTGTCCAATACCTCGCCCCTTTTCATCTGCATGTCTGATAATCTGATCAACAAGCCAACCATAGGTGAATACGTGGTAACCGCTTCTAGTTCCTGGAGCCATTTTGGGGGCTTCGTTTTCTATCACTTCTCTCATTAAATTGTGGTTCATAGCCATTTCTTCAGTAATGGGTGTTTCAAGGTAATAAAGACCTGCCTAAATTACGTCAATATATTTCAAGAATTGAAGAAATAAACTCTAATTCACCATATGAGACATCGCCCATCCTATAGTAATATTTTCCTTGCCATTTTTTGCAAATCCTGGCCAATGCTTTGAGACAAGATCATCGTATCTAAGTCTCCCTTTATCGACAAGAAGCGCGATACAAACAGCGGCAACAGCTTTGGTCGTTGAGAAAGCAACAGCGATGGTGTTCTGCAACTGTGTATCTTAGGGGTTATTTCACAGAAAGTACAATCCTTCAATCAAAACCGTGTATTACATTCTTCCATGTTCTTGCAGCCTGTACATCTGCATAGCCTCCCCACAGGTCAACTACTTTTCGCC